AAATTTTTTACATTTATAACAATGTTAAATTCCACAAATAACATTATATAACGTTATACTTCATTATTAAAGTTTAATCCTACAAAATATTTCTCCCTTATACATTCATTCTTTTTTATCTTTCTCAATTCCTTAATTTCCTTCATTTTTCTACCTCCTATTAAAATTCATCACACCGCGTTCTTTTCACCCCCTTTTTGATTATTCTTCTTTTTTTCTTCTTCTTCTTCTTCTTGCATCTTCTTTTGTTTTCCACTTTTCGACTTTTTATTCTGCAAAAACCTAATTAAAGCCAGCAAACCCTATTAATTTTCTCTCGAACAAACGATCCGTATGGTTACTTCGTTCAAGATCGAACTAGCAAGCTGGTTTCGAATGTAAGCCGAAGACAGAGGACTGGTCTGCTACTTTGGCTCGATTCAAACCACCGCACCGCCAATAAATAACACTCTACCCGAGATCTACTCTATGCGGTTTATACAGGATATACTATGGTCTAACTTGTACAGGTGGAGAATTTGGAAGAGAAGAGAATAGGTTGAAGAGAATTATATATATTATAAATATTTCCAGCATTTGTCGAAGAATAACGCGAATAAATTTTTACTAATTTCGCAATCTCGATCTTCTCGATAAATAATTTTTAAAAAATTTATGGAACAATTTATAACGAACAGCGGTTTATAATATAAAGAATATAAACTTCTCAAAAAAAAAAAAAAAATATCACGAATTCATTTTATATTAATCCATATAAAAAGAATTATACGTACGATTAATCAATAGAATCGGAGTAAGTAATATTTTATTATGTGCAAAGATTTAATCGATAGAAAGTTGATAATATTTTAAATCAGTGTGGCTAATAAAATGAAACGAAGGGAAAGTAATCGAGGAATACAGTCATTTTAATTAGCCAGATGAATGAAAGTTCTCGACGGCGAAATTAATAAAGAAACTTAAATGAAATCCAATAAGTGAGTTGTACAAAACGGAACCGATGGGTGTTTCGATTAAGTTGATTAAACTGGAATTAAGTCGATTAAAACGGAGTACCTTAATAACAAAGTTGATAGCTTTTAATTAAACGGAATAACTCGAAATCTGCCGATAACTGATATCATTTAAATTTTAAACGAATAATTATTTGTAAGAACGAAAATTATTAAATATATTCAGATTTCGTTTCAGATTCGATCCAGAAATTTCAACCTTTTATTTATTTTTTTTTTCTTATCTTTCGTTTCGAAATGTATATACGTCTAATTTTTTAGTACTCTTGAAAACTATATATATAAAAAAAAAATGGAATTTCCTAGAAAAGTAAATAAATTGTGACATTGATACGAAGTTTTTATCTTACTCTTTACTCTTACGATGAAAATTTATAACCAGAAGGCGAGGTATCGAAACTGACTCGATCGAAAATTATTCAAAAAAAAAATTATTTATAAATTAATATTTTATACGATGATCATTTTTAAATTTTGATAAAATAACGATCGCGCTATGTTAAAAATATACATGAATTACTTCAAAGAAGATAACTGTATCGTAAGAAAATCGAAGATAAAAATCCAAAAAAAAAAAAAGAAAAAAAGAGAAACATTGTTACTTCGAATTTTTGGAAGCGAAAAGAGCTAATCGACGATCGTTTTCGACATCACTGATCTTGGTCAAAGCGATTCGCAACGTCGCTTTCAGACATTCGAAGGTCGTGTAAACGGGGATCAAAGTCTACGCCAATGGAAACGAGCGATGATAATGTTTCTCGGTGATGTTGGTTGAGATACGGGACACGGTATCTTTATTACCCTATGCGAGACACGTTGCTCAAGTTAATATTAATTGCCGTTTTATCTTGCTCAGACGACTGATATTTCGAACGCGAGTAATCTTCGCAAATTTTATGACGCCTCGAACCGGCACGGAACTAGACCTTCGAATTTCGTGAACAAACTTTAACGCGCCACGTTTACTCGCGTCTTATTTACAGAGCCCAGATTTCATCGACAACCTCTTCGCGCTCAACCTCTTAATTTAACTGTTGCTACGGAATCGGCCGAAAAGTTTTACGACCGTCAGAAACTACGTTGTACCGCTTGTAGTCAGATCGTCAGAACGGGAATTGAAATGCAAATTTTTCTCTCTCGTTCTATCGTTCAATCGCATTCAATGATAAACTTCAAAACTCTTTGTAAAACTTATCTCTTAGATCCTAAAGTTTCTAAAGTTTGAAACTTATAATAATTTTACAGGTACAAAATTTTTAATAACAACAATTCCAAATCATAAGTATATAATAAATAGTTACAATTGCAATAGTACAGCATGGAAATTTCAATTGTGTAGTGAAAAAAGAGAAGAGAAAAAAATAAATAAATAAATAAATTCGCGATAAATTCGCTCAATTTCGCCTCACCTTCCATTTTCTTTCACTGGATAGCTTCAATCACACCGCGATCGACTTCCGTCTCGCAGTCAATATCCCGAGCAACCGTCGAATAAAACGACACGAGCAGCTGTTGGGAAACGGATTCATGGTCCTCGGCGAACAACTGCGATATTCGTTCCCAACGTCAGAATTCCTCGGCGATCCTCGGGGGAAACGCGAGGCGTGTCGGGGGCACAACATATTCACGAGGCCGTATACCGATTTTATTCCATCGCTAAATCCTCGAATCTCTGCGGACCTGGGTCTCCTCCGCGTGCCTCCTCCTCCTCTTCCTCCTCCTCCTCCTCCTCCTCCTCCTCTTCCCATCTCCTCCCGTGATTCTCGATACGCAGTCGAAAGGAAAGAGCGACGGCGAAGTTTCGGGAGTTACTGCGACTCCTCCTAAGCCTGTGTCGATGATCACGCTCCTAACCAGGTTTTTTTACGGCCGAGGGAGGGCACCTCGTCTTGGGAAATGTGGAGAATATTTTAAAATATACTTTTAAAGAATCTTTATTTAATATTTATTACGTATCTTACCTAATGGTCTAAAGAGACGTTTGAATATTGCTCTCAGATGATTTATTAGCTTTTGTTCTTTGAGAGCGATCTTGATTTTATTTTTGCTTGAGGAAAAAAAAGTTTCCTTCAATGGAGTTTGCCTCGACAAAGATGATTCTTTGATCGCTTTCTGTTTTGTTTTTTGTTCGTTTTTTTTTTTTTTTCATTGTGCGCCTCTGTTGAGGATTAGATAATTATTTGAGGATTAGGCAATATCATTACGAGTTTTTTTAACGAGTCAAAGTAATTTTGAGATATTTATGATGCTGTTGGTTGAAATTATTTTTGTTGAAACACGTTGTTAAGGAATGGAAAGAGAAAGAAAGAATTTCATAAGAAAACTTCATTTTGCGCGGAGATTTTTGGAATAAGTATGTCGCACGCCAGTTGAAACGATAAGATTACGGAAGAAGATAAGTTGCAGAGAGATAAAACACTCTTTGTACATTGGATCTATAATAATTAATAAATGTTTCAATGTATATCAGGATTCTTATAAAATTATTATCTTAATCGTAAACCTCTATAATCACCTTTTATCTTCCTTTCATTTTTTTTCTTTTTCCTTTTCTTTTTTTCCATTCTTCCACTATCGAATTAATAAATAAATTCACACAAATTCGAACAATATAATATAATTTCCTCTTAAATGTTAAACAAAAATTGCAAACACATTTTCCGCACGCAAAATCTCTCAAACTCTCAATTTTTTTTGAAATTTTCATGAAACGACGATCTTTAAATGCCTCCGATTTTTAAATGGACTGAAACGGCCGATCCGTTTATCCGTGTATATAATTGGTAACATACGGATTGCAATATCTTATGACTGTGCCGTGCCATTAACGGCCACGACGATCATCGTAATATACGTTTAGTTTAGTTTAGCGGGACGAGGGGATCCCCGGGCGACCCTTCGCGTGCCACCGAGGAGGGTGCATAATTTATCGCTTTTCCCCGACCACCATAATGCAACACGTTACACGCTCGGTATGCATGTAGATTCCGAAGGTTATCGATGCTCCCTCAACGTCCGAGAGGGTGTAATACGGGAGGCCTAACTACCGATAAATAGCCCAATCATCGATCGAAATTCATTGCCCTGGCCTCCGTCTTAATTCAATAGGAACCGTGTAATTAGAGAGCGAGAGAGCGAGAGAGAGAGAGAGAGAGAGAGCGAGAGAGAGAGAGATGGAGGAAAAAAAATATTATTTGTATATAATGTATCGAATTACGCCGTATCTTTATTCCTGATAGATGATGTCACTCTTTAAAAGATATTAAACATATTCAAGATGCATTAATTGGTATGTTATTTTGCGTTGAAGATGCAGCCTTTGATCGAATATCGTGATCCGTTGAAATGAATAAAATAAAAGTGGAGAGAAGAGAGGGGGGTTAATGAACGGGTTCAATGAACAATTGTGTAATATAAATAAATTTGTGTAATTCGTATTTTTAATTTCCGTAAAATTGAAATAACGTGATTAATTATCATTATTAGATAGACGACGAGAAAATAGATTTTGTGGTCGCAACGTACGCAATTTCAAAGAAGTACATTTGACAAATATAAATCATGATAAAGCCTGTTCTTCTGATACAACTTTTTTTTACGCTTCCTCTGTTAAGCAAATGTTAAGCTAGAGATAACCAATAAAAACAGAAGTTACGTGGAATATATATTCCAGTCTCTTCTAAAATTACTCTACGACTCTATCCATTATTTATTATTCACGACCGATTATTTATTATTCACGAATTTCAAAAAAATTCGAGTCAATTTTATTTCAAAAGTCGAGTCAATTTCATCGTTCAAAAAGAGAGGGGGGAGGGGGAGGGGGGGAAAAAAAAAAGAAGAAATCATTTTAAAAATATATTAAAAATTATTCGAACTATTTTCCCAATTGTCAATTAGATCAATTATTTCTCGTGACGTAAAAAACGTAGAAAACGTAGAAAGCGAGACAGGTGATGGTGAAGCAAGTGACTACGACGACTTCGCTTAGAGTAGAATTGATTTTTATTGTGACTAGATTACAAACGGGGCCTTTCGGCGCTCAATATCGCCCAGTAGGAACGTTTACACGTAGTGAGTGAAACGGCTGAGAAGAACGGAATGAGAAACATTCTTCCGCGGGCATTTGCAAATCACTCACCGCGGGAACTGGGATATGTGATTACGACGAACATTTGTACGACATTGGGATTCATACAAAATAGCGGTCGTTCCTTAAATCTAGCTTACGTCACTATTTGTTCTATAGCGTTTATGCCTGCATCATGACTTTCGAAGTTGATCGATTCACTTCGTCTCCCCTTCCTCCCCTTCTTCCTTCCCCTCCCCCTCCCCATTTCCATTAAATTTTACATCTATTAACTGGTGATATGCCATTTTCAATTCTACAACTGTATGATTTACATTTTTGTTTTTCTTTTTTTTTTTTTTTTTTTTTTTTTTTTTTTTTTTTTTTTTTTTTTTTTTTTTTTTTGGTTTTTTTTTCGTTTTATTTTTTGTTTTAAAAAACACGACACCCTGTCCAAATTCCATTTTCGTCGAACAATTTCGTATAATTTAACAATTTTTATATTATGCAGTAGTCGATGAAAAATAACGACACGCAATTCCGTCATGCGCAATTGTAGACGTGATCGAACTTAATGAAGTAATAAACGAAATGCGAAGAGGATGATGAATCGATGGACTCCAAAAGTTCAATTACACGTGCCCTGCAAGGATATCGAATACAGTTTTTTTTTTTTTTTTTTTGTTTCTTTATAATTATTCAATATAATTATTAATAGTATTTATAACGTACGCATAGTCGATAAAGTGATTTCTTTCCTCGTACACTGTACAAAGTACCACCGTATCTGCGAGTTACGCAGCAACAGTGGCCATTTTCATTTACATACAGCCTGTATGGTTTATATTTTTCTTTCGTTATTATTATTTATTTATTTATTTTTTTGGTATTCTGTTGGGTAATGTTATTATTATCATCATTACAATATAACAATTCTAAAAGATATTTACGAACCGCGTAAAATCAGCGTCTACTATACATATATCTACAGGATAGTGAGTACATCTCGATCCGCGCTGGATCTTTTTTTTTTTTTTTTTCCCTTTATTAGTCATCTCATTATCTTTCCCTTCTCGTTATTTCTCTAATTTGCGATTAAATTTATCCTTTTTTTTTTTTTTTTGTTTTTTTCGTTTTTTCGAGTCTCTGAAAGACTTTCGTACGCAACGAAATTCGACGTTGCCTTCGTTTGAATTCTGTTTCGAAACGCACGATACATATTCCGTGGTTCCTCAACGAGGAACTAATCGTAAAGATAAACTTTTTAACGACAATACAAAGCTCGTTGCTCCGACAAATCATCATTACTTTTCATAGTGACTTTTTCTTTTATCGAGAAAAACGATAATCAAAATCGGAAATATTGCACTTTGGCTCGAGTATTTGTCAAATACGTCGCATTTTCAACAAAAATGCGAGAAAGAAAAAGAGAGAAAAATAAAAGAATTCCTTGATTCTCAACCAATTTCTTAGGAAACGTGACAATCTACGAGATTGTTCTCTGCGATTCCGTTCATTTTACATGATGAAACATGCACCTCGAAACATTAAATATTTTATATATATAATATATATATATATATACCCATATATTCGATTCGATCGTTCGTGCATTTACAATCGTATGTACATCTCTTATCCCATTCACCTGTTTTGCACTGGGAAGAATACAGTTAAATCCTGCCATTAAATAACCATTAAACGTTCGATCTGTGAAGATCGATCAGCGAAGAACAACGTACGCGCGTAAAGTCACGTTACGAATGCCGTGAATCCTCGCAAAATCATCTCACAAGATTAAAAAACGAAAAAAAAAAAAAGAAAAAACGAAATAGAAACGTTAAACGAGACAAAAGAAGAACGAACAAATATATATATATATACATATACATATATGCGATACACATGGATACGTATATACGTGACAAAGAAGGGAAAAAGAATAATACTTAACGAGCCTCGAAGAAGGCCTCGAAGAGAAAATATCCAGGTAAAAGAGAATTACTCGCGAGGACATCTCGCTGGCATCTTGGCAACGGCCGGTGTTCTCAGTTCTCGTCTCGCGGCAGGGAGAGGGTTTGAGAGCCGGAAGCGATGGACGGGGTGGTCCAACAGTCGAGCAACGAGGGCCAGTAACCGGTGGCGGTGGTCGCGTGTTGCCAGTAACTGGCCAATCCCGTGCCCCCCCCGGGAGCGGTCCCGGATCCACCGATCCCTATCCCGACGCCGACGCCTATACCACCGGACGCGGCGATCACTCGCTCGCCGCCGATCCCTCCCGCCTCGATCACGCCTCTCCCGTCCTCCTCGATCTTCTGGTCCGCCGTGCTCCCGTCTTCGTCGTACATCAGATAAGGTGGGTGCGAGGTGGTCGACGAAGGGGTCGACGACAGGGTCGGCGAGGCGGCGGACCTAGGCCTGGGTCACTCTTGCGCCCTCAGCTGATTGTCGCTCTGCTGGCCGCCTGACACGTTGGCCGCGGCTGCCGCTCCCACTTGCGCCACCACTTGGCCGCCACCCCCCAACGAGCTCCCGGAACCAGCCAGGGAGCTACCTGAATTCCCTGTTACAGCGTGGTGATGGGGGCTAGACGTAGCCCCCGCTTCGCCTCAGACTTGGGCCCTGGCCGTCGCGTTCACGTGGGCCTCCGCGCTGCTCGGCGAGTGAGGGTTCCCCTCGCCCGCCGTTGTCAGCGCGTATTGACACGCCGACAGGGGGCCACCGCCCACGGACGGAGCCCTGGACCCAACGGGGCTGCCAGCCGCCGAGACCGGCGTGCTGTCCATGCTGAACGAGTTCCCGCTCAGGCTGTAACCGCTGCTGTGCTGCCTCGCCTTCAATCGGAGGGAGGCGATGCTGCTCGAGGTCATCACGGTACAGCTCTCCGGAGCCGCCGCTGTTCTGTGGTGCGGCGTGTACACGGATGGCCCGTAAGGGTGGTGCGGCGCGGCCGGTGCCGCGTAAGGACACGCGGCCCCCGTCGCCGCCACCGGCGAACCGGCCACCCCCAGCCCGGAACCCATTCCGGGTAGCATGGAGGTGGCCGCCTGGCCGACCGACACGGACATCCCGCCCATGTGGTTCCCGGCCACGGACGTCGCCGCGGCGTTGAAACAGTTGACGGGGCTGACTTGGGTGTGGTGATGGTGGTGCGACGCCGTCGGAACCACCGAGCCCAGGGTGTTCACCCAGGGGAAGCTTTTGCTGCTCAGAGGCGAGGGCACTTTGGCCGCCCAGTTGTTGTACGGGCTGTACGAGCTGTAGAGGGCGTCCGGGTCTGCGAACGGTTGGCCGATGAAGCTGTTCAGGCTGGCGCCGAAACCGGGCTTGAAGTCAACCGTGTCCGCCGCGGTGTTCGCGTTCCGCGTCTGTTTCCGCCACTTCGCCCGCCTATTTTTGAACCATACCTGAAACAGAAGAATCGTATCGTTGTTCAAACGCCATGCTTCTCTTCGATACGAATCGACGCGTTGGAATTATTTATTTATTTTAATTATCATAAATATATCGAGTATACCAGAAATCGGTATCTCGGATCGAGAAAAATCATGACTACGCGCAATGAATCGGCGGAAAACATTTCTAAATACAACAATTAAGTAGAATCTTATCTTATCTTATCACTCGTGAAACAATTATACGTCTCGTTGAAAAGGCAATTGCACCGTGTCCGAAAAATTCTCCTATCTAAACCGCGCCTACCCATCGAATCCCTCTTTACTTAATCGAGCATCAACATCATTCCTCGTTTCTCCAAACTAATCTAAAGCACCCGCTATACCGCCCACGAAAAAAATTCACCACGAAAATCCCTCCTCCTCCTTTTCTTCCTCTCTCTTCTCCTTTTATACTCTCCTATGGAATTTCATCGTCGCTGCTTCGCGACCTCATCGAAACGAAGAAGCTTTCTTTTTTATTTTCTCCCCCTCTTTCTCCTTTTCCCACCAAATTTCTACTTCAACGTGGGACCCAAATATTCAGCCATGTGTATCACGGCTTCATCGAAACGAAGAAGCTTTCTTTTTCTCTTTTCTCCTCGTCTTTCTCCCTTTTCCACCAGATTTCTACTTCAACGTGGGGCCCAGGTATTCAATCATGTATATCACGGTCTCATCGAAACGAAGAAGCTTTTTTTTTTTCTTTTCTCCTCGTCTTTCTCCCTTTTCCACCAGATTTCTACTTCAACGTGAAGCCCAGGTATTCAGCCATGTGTATCACGGCCTCATCGAAACGAAGAAACTTTCTTTTTTCTTTTTTTCTTTTTCTCCTTTTTCCACCAGATTTCTACTTCAACGTGGGGCCCAGCCATATCACGGTCTCATCGAAACGAAGAAGCTTTCTTTTTTTTTCTCCTCGTCTTTCTCTCTTTTCCACCAGATTTCTATTTCAACGTGGGGCCCAGCTATGTATATCACGGCCTCATCGAAATAAAGAAGCTTTCTTTTTTTCTTTTCTCCTCGTCTTTCTCCCTTTTCCACCAGATTTCTATTTCAATGTGGGGCCCAGGTATTCAGCCATGTGTATCACGGCCTCATCGAAACGAAGAAGCTTTCTTTTTTCTTTTTTTCTCTTTCTCCCTTTTCCACCAGATTTCTATTTCAATGTGGGGCCCAGCTATGTATATCACGGTCTCATCGAAACGAAGAAGTTTTCTTTTTTCTTTTCTCCTCGTCTTTCTCCCTTTTTCACCAGATTTCTACTTCAACGTGGGGCCCAGGTATTCAGCCATGTGTATTACTCATGTGGAAACGGGGCAAAGCGTTGTTAGGTTTCCAGTCGGTAGACGGCCGAGTCTCGAGACAAATGGGAAGAAAACCCCGGCGAGCTCCTCCATCCTGAAATATGATGGCGTTAATTCAAGGCGGCCCTCTCCCGCGTTCGATACTGCGCCAAGGGTGCGAGGGCGAGTCGCTCGTCAGCCGTTTCCACCCTCTTCCCATTCGCCCTTCAACCTCCTCCACGCCATCCCCTCGTTCTCCCCCTCTGTTGCTTTTTCCACGACGCCCACGACCCGGCTTGGCCCCGACAATTATACGGCTGGTTGCACCCGGATACACGCCGCTCTCGCGTAACTGTAAAGGCAATCGGCGCTGGAACAACCGATGGTGGAACAGCGAGGGGGAGGGGCGAGGAGAAGGTCGGCGGTGAAAAAGAAGGAAGGAGGGAAAGGAAGGAAGATAGAAGGTTGGAGGATCCTCGGCAAGATGGATGGGATCCCACGATCGCGCCGTGGAAACGCTAAGAGGCGCGACGAGTCATTGAAAGAGGGGAAGAAGACTGGCTAATGAAGAATAATGCCCTCCCTTTTGCCGATTATTCTCGAAAACCGCGCCGCGCTTCTCTTATACGCGTCGTTATGACGCGTCGGCTCGGATGGATTACCAGTTTTAACGGAGATCTTTGTTCCACCGTTTCGAAGGAATTAGAACCCGCGTCTCTTTCCATTATTTCCAGAGGAATTTTCGATCTATCTATCTGAATTACGAAGACAAGTAATTTTGTAATTTTCAATTGGAAACGTCTCTATTTTTCGATCCTCTGAAAGTGTTCCAAAAATACATCAACACCCTACATTCTGAATTTAATCATACGCAATTTCATCACAAAATTCATCGTCATTGTCCATTGTTCTCTCGAATTGTCAAGCGCCACGAAAATAGTCGACAACAATCTCGAGGAGGAGGATCGAATTTCAAAGAAGATACGATTTTTCCCTCCCCTATGAATTTCACGAAAAGAATGAAAAAATATATATATATATATATTTCCCCTCGTGGTTCGTACGAGGAAACTTTCCTCCTTTCCCGAGGAAGGAACATCATTGGATTCCACGAAGCGACCCCCGTAGGCATGACACGGGGCGACGGTAAGCCAAAAGAGGGGGAGTAAACTCGATAGGACAGAACGGCGGCCGAAAGATGCCGTGGCTCGAGAATCAATAAACTCTCTCGGAAGGCGCGCGCGAGTCGTTTCGTATACACACAAGACCGCGCCCATAAACTTTAACAGGCGCGGCTGAATTCGAGGCGACGCTCGCCGCGGCTCATAAGCTTGATGAATGAACTTTCCGATCGAGCCGGTCGGACGACGGAAGTCCTCGGATTAGCCGTGCCAATTTTCGAACGACGATCTTGACCGGCGTCAAACCGCAATGGCGGCGGCCATTTGTATCGCGAAACAGGGGGATGGGTTTTCGAAGATTCGAATCGATCCAAGTCGCATCCCTAAATAAAAAGAAAGTGAAATTAAGACGGGACCGAAACGAGATATTTTTACAGATAAGATTCTGATTAATTACTTTTAATAATTAAATAATTTCTGATTAATATAATACGCATCCGGTGATGCCTCTCGTTTTTAACAACACACGATTCCAATTACGGTTCACTCGTTTCGCTTGTGATTGATCGCCCGTTCGATTTTTGCTTAATGGAAGTTTTCTGGAATGGCGAGGTTCGTAGTCGAACGATAAATCGAATCCAATGTTTTCCACTCGACAACCGCTTGAACAATGGCCCCCGTCACGTCATCCGAGCAATAAAACCTCATCAAATCACGACCCCTCGCCACCGCGTAAGCTTCCGTGCACGGCTCAATCTACGAAAGCTTATATAAATGTAATGAGACCGTGACCGGGGGCCAGCTCATCAATCAAGCCCCCACCAACCGGCTGTAGCTTCTCTGCCTTCTCCGCACCCCTTCGTCGTCTTTTCCGTATACGTCCCGGCATTATATAGACACCCCCGAAAACGCTGCCCCATACAGGGTAATCCCACGACTTAGCAACGGCCACTGAACAATCGGATAAGCGCGATTCGTTTCGTACGAGGTGGCCACGCTGTTGCCCTATTTTTTCCCCTTTTTCCTTTTTTTCCCTCCTTTTTGCTTCGATCACGTCAATCTTCCGCCTGTTTGAGATACAGGTGGATCAATCGCGTTTAAAAGATGTATGTTCGTTGCAACGACAATGACGATATTGAAAATTTGCGATATTGAAAATTTTTCGGATCGTTGGTCGGCAACATCGTCGGTTTGAGATGTAAATGCGTTGTTAGTTGAAATTTTCGTTAAACGATACAGACAGAGCGTTTGCAAGTGTTGAGATTCGATTAAAAATTGAACAAACTTTTCTGTAAATTCGAGGAGTATCGAAAGATACTTGGAAAAATCATGCAACGAATGACACGACGTAAAACTTATGTTATGTCGTATGGATAAAGTCAAATAGCGAAATATACGAATATTTTTCATTACACTTTTCATTTTACTTTTATATTCGCTTCTTGTTACGCATCTTCAATCTCTTAAAGGAGTTACGAGTGAATTCTAGAAAGAACTCCTTTGTCTGACCTGTACCGTCTCGTTCTACTTTCTCTCTAAAAACAAAAGCCATGAAAAAAGGAATGTACACGATTACATCTTTACAATCATGAATATATACCTCCTAATCGATTAAAAAAAATATCATACGAATATTTTCCAAATCCCAATTTCACTTCTTCACTCACTACTTCATCAAATAATTATAAATTTTTCTTCCTTCCTTCTATACCTTCCTAAAACTTCCCTCCACACCTATCATTCCAATAAAATGAATAAATTTCCAAACTGGAATCGAATCGAAAGAATCCTTCCGTTATTAAAGAATGAAATACATCTCAACATCCTGTGCATTCCATTCACAAACACATCTCGAATCTTTGCCTACGAAAAAACCTACGAAAAACAACATCGTGCATAATTCGCGATCAACGAATCGCTTGTACCTCGTATCACGATAAACAATCCCTCTCGTTCGAGGCCACATATGCACACGCCATGTGCGCTTTCGCATACACACACACACACACACACACACACACACGTAGGAAGGAATCGAGCGTAGCCGAGGCGCGTCTCGCCGGCCGAGCAATTCGATTCGTAAGACGGGAGACGTCGAGAAGGACGAGGAGGCGAAAGAGGGACGGCGGTAGAAGGGAGAGAAGGTCGACGGTTGTAGGGTGGAGACGGCGATGGTGGTGGAGGGCAGGAGGAACGAGGAGGAACGAGGGAGTGAGAGCGTAGGGATGCCGCGGGGAGAGGGGAACGGCGGAGGAAAACGCGGAGGTGGAGGTGGAGGAGGATAATATTGATCCCCTCGTAGCCCCGCCCCTCCTTGCCCAGCCGACGCCATCATTATATTATCCACCATCCCTCCGTCCATCCGACATATGCGCACACCTACGACCTCGAAATCCACGGGACCCCCTTGGTCCATCCACGCATCGCTCTTCCAAGACGCTATCTATTCTTCTCACGAGGGAAAACTGCGTAACTGTACGTATATTCTATCCGGTAATATTCAGAACAGTATACTCGTGTTTTCGTTCGAAAAAAACGAGAGAGAATGAGTTAAGTGATAAGAGAG